TTATTGAGGAATTTTTCTTCAAATGTTTGGCGTGTTCTGTTCCTGAAAGATTTACTAATATTCTGGAGATTTTTTTCAAGTTCTTCGGCCTTTTCCTTAGGGAAATTTTGTTTCTTATTTGCTGCTAAAAAATGGCGTCTGATTCAGTCAATGATTTTGATGGAACTAAATGAAAACGTGATAAATTAATGTCTGATATTTACAGGCTCTCGCTAGACGGCGTACTCGAGCATTGCGATCGCGATTACAAAAATAACTGAATGTGATAAACTTGCGAGAAACTTGACTTCACGCAAAATTTAATTCATGTGTTTTTCGCTAATCTTTTTATTTTTATTTCTTTCAAACTTAAAAATACGATGCTTCTTTTTTATTCGTTTATAATAATTTAAATTCGGTTTTAATAATTTATTTGCAATTTAGTAAAGAAATTTGAACAAAAGATTTTATAGAATAGAGAACATTTTATTCAACGAATGTTGAGTTTTATAAAAGCATGCTTCTGATAGAATATGATTATACAAAGGATTGTGCTTATTTCTTATTTATTTTTTCTTCTCAATAATGATACAATTTCAATAATATACATACGTATGCATAGATTTGGAATAATATATTTATCAATTTCTTGAATATATATTTTATAATTATTAATACGAATGCGTAGTCAACATTTTTAAGCATCTTAAAACTTCTTTACATCTTATATATCGCCTTTATCTTAAAATAAATTTGTAAATTATCTGTCTGCGCTTGCTTCGCAGAATTATTTTTCTAACATTTTAGTTAAATTTTAACGCAAAATATTATTTTTTATGCCACAATAAATATTATTTTCCAATAATATACCAATCAATCGTTTCAGTACATTAATTTATGTTTTCCTCTAAAATAAAATTACTTTTTAAATTATTGCTAAGTTCTTATTGAATGAAACTTAGAATTATTGCCAGCTATCTGAGAATTGAATCTTGTTAAGAAATTAAAAATATTCTACTGATCACGCACAATATCATTCGATGCAGAACAGCTGACTATTTACTAAGAATACTATTGTTTACGAAAAATGAAGATAAGTTATTAATTTTTTTATTTTATTGTTTCTTATTTATTCGAGTAATGAAAAGTAAATGAGCATGTGTGCACAGCGAAAAAATACAACAGATTGTTTTGTCTTTTAATTGAACAAAAAACTATGGACATACATTTTATTTCGACATTCAAAGTTATTCTTGTGCGCTAACTGAAAGAAAGTTGCCCTTTTGGTTTAAAAAGTTGTTTATATGATTTCTCAACTTTTGCACTGTTCAAAAAATATTGCTATATCAGGAAAATGTTCCATATGCCTTGTTTTGTTAAACAACTAACTAGTAAAAAATTGCAAATAGATTCGAAAAACGTGCTATTTTTAGAATCATCATCTCAAAAATTGTTCTTTTCCTCCATTTGACTTTTTTCCACTTAAATAACTTATATAATATAATAAATTTAACACACGTTTTGAAGAAATTAGGAATTCAAATTTCTCCTAATATTTCGTAATAAAAAAACAAGAATATTAATGATTCATTTATAATTGTTTCATTGAACCGGAGTAGTTAATTGTTTTCGTAATAATCGGTCTTAAAACTATTTAACTTAGATTCTTTGGACAAGGGGTCACTTCATGCATGTCTTTCGACATTGAAATTTCAAATATAAAAATTACAAGAATGCGTAAGCTGGTTTTAACTAACAAAAATAAGGACAAAATCGTTGGCAAAAGAAGTTATCTCATGAAAAGAGTATCAGAGTTAAAAAAGTATTGTAAAAACTGTAACAATTGTAACTCTTGCTTAATAAGGGTATTATAAACCTAATTTTCTTTTAATTTTTTTAAAATATATTTATTAAAGAATTAACGAAAGGAGTGCGTAAATANAGTGTCAGAGTTAAAAAAGTATTGTAAAAACTGTAACAATTGTAACTCTTGCTTAATTAAGGGTATTATAAACCTAATTTTCTTTTAATTTTTTTAAAATATATTTATTAAAGAATTAACGAAAGGAGGGCGTAAATAACATGAATTCTTTTTACTGCAAACTAAGTTTACTTAATATCATTTTCAAATCTTATGAAGTAGAAATCCTTGACCTACTTGTTAAATTAAAGTTTTATTTTAATCGTAGTTGAAGGAGTACGGATACGTAGTTAAAGGAGGTATGCGACATTCGGAAAAAAAAGTCGTGTGATAGAGATAGTTTTAAACAGAACGAATTAGTTCTTTTGGTTGAAATGCTGACAATAATCATTACAGCACCTTGGGTAACAAGTGCCATGAAAGAAGGTTCTGAACTTGAATTATAGATTTTATATTTTCTTATTTACATACCTCCTTGATCTCCGCACCATTTTAATATTCTGTAAAGCATAAAATTAATGTTGAATAAAAAAAGAGATTTCAAATGAAATATTTTATTTTCCTTAATATAGAATATCTGCTACATTTTAGAATATCAAATTCACGACATTTCATGTCTAATTCTAAGAACTTTTCATGACTTAACGAAGTTACTATTTTTTCCGACAAGAACAGAATAATACATTTAAAAAGCATTATAATAGCAATTATTAAAATGATAGGTATAACCAAAACTGTTATACTCTGCATCTTCATATTTATTGAGTTTAAATTTAAAAGACAGAGTAAAGAAAGAGTTGAAGCAATAAAATAGCTGAAAAAATAAAAGCTGAGCAAATATTTTTTTCCCTTTTTTCTGCAGAATTATATTCTAAAGATACTTTTCTTGTTCATCAGAAAGGAAAGAAATACTCCTGATTTTTCTATTCTCATTTCGCAATTAAAAATGTTTTCCAATGACTGACTGATTTTTTTGAAAAAATAGTTAAATTTTCATTTGCTCATCAATAATCACTAATAATTAAATATCATTCACATTTCATTACAATTGTGTTCAATTCCGAAATTCATGACTTTCCATGATTTTTCAAGACATCACAGGTGCGCGGATACCCTGTTAATATTTTGTCATGAGGCCTTGGCGGTGGACGACTTCTGTCATTCGATTCGGCATGCTGTTGATAAGGTTGATGGCAAATTGATGATCGTGCTTTAACTCCTCCCAAGCTGCCAGGATTTTGCTCCACAATTGATCGCATGATGGAGTGCTGGAGAGAATTAGCTTTTTTTTGTTAACTCAGACCATACATTTTCAATGGGATTCAAGTCCGGAGAATTACTTGCCCATGCCATGGTTTCAAATGCCTGCTGGTTAAAATATGAAGAAAAAGAAGCTTTTAAACAATTTAAAATATAAATAAATATAGCTCATTCTATCAGCAATTATTATACCATATTGTTCATTACACCATATAATGTTTTATTTATTATATCACAAGCAGTTTTCGATTTCCCTTAATGTTTATAAAGGTTATATGCTTTGTTTAAGGTGTCCCAAAATGAGACTGACAAATTTAGAGGAGTTATAAGAGACATGAAGAGGAGAATGAAAATTTACCATATTGCATACGTCTTACATCAAGTTGAGAAGGTAAAAATCCTAAAAACTCATTTAGGTTTCGGGGACACTCTGGTAAACAAAGCTATGAAAGATATTACAAACTTGCTAACTACTTAAGCATTTATTTTGCTAATAGTTACAAAGGTTACTCGAAGTGCGCTCTATGATGTCATTGCACAGTCTACAATGACGTAAAAATGATTTCAGGTGCTCTTGAAGATAAGTTTAATATGACTAACATCAACTGATATCTACTGCTCGCATCTTATAGATTTAGAATCTGCATACGTTTACCCTCTCAACATGTTTTGCAACCTCCATGCTCTGTGGTAAGTTTTCATGTGGTTGATGACGCTTTTCCCATTCCTGATTCATTCATCGAATTTTTGCAATGCTAAGTCTATCAGCGGTATCCAATTTTTCTTTTCGGTTGTGGAACACGAAATCAACCCTCTTTCAGCGGAACCTCAATTTAAAAAATAAAGTTTATAGACAATCCTAAGAGTCTTATCTTTTGAAAGACTACTTATTTTTGAAAATACTTCACGTGAGAAATTTTTTCATCTTTAATCATTAATAAGCTCAAATGAATTGTTCAGGTCAGACACTTAAATTCTCAGTCTTGAGCTGTATCTAGTATAATTTATGAATTTGTTTTTGGCGTACATGCATAGTTGAGAATTAATAAAATAAGTCGAATTATGGTTTTCTTTTAAAGACACAGAACTGCTTTAAAAGTCAAAATGGCTGTAGGTAAATTGATTGCTTTCTTAACGATTTTTGTTATTTTTATTTAGATTTGAAAAACGCGATGGGATATATTGATACAATTTATTATAAATAAATGTCTTCTCCAGAATTTACTAAGTATATATTAATATTAAAAATATAATTTGTTTACAAAAAAAATCACTTTTCCATTAGCATTTTCCCTTAAACAGTTTAGTTAAGGCTACCGAAATGAATAGATAATGAATTATTAATTACATCTAAATATAATTAGAGATTTTCAAAAAACATAAATGGTTTAAACTAGGTTCAATTCTCGAAATCCCTTTAACTCTTCCACGGAGCCTCTGGGGTTCTGCGGAACACCAATTTGGAACCACTTTTGTTTATGATTTCAATATTTTGCTTAACATATTTATCTAACAAGTTAGGATTTCAAAAAACAACAAATGAAAAAATTAGTTTCAACTATTTCCATAAATTTTAAAATTCGACAGCTCAGAGCATTTAATTGTGTATATATAAATATATTTGCTAACACATAAGTGTCATAATTACTTTAGCTTAAAAAAAAATTCTATACTTACTGGTAATCGCATATCGTACAGAATCATCTTAGCTGTAACTTAACTGTTCTGCATACCTAACAATGCAGTCGTCTTCTTCCGCACCATCAGATATTTTGGGCCTAACACTGCCTTCTTTCCTTGAAACGTCCCCTGCTCTTGACCAAAATTTTTTATGAATATTTTATTTAAATATGAATAAAAGAAATTGTTTATTTTCATGCTTATGGATTTTCTTAACGAAGTAGACTGATCTATATATATTTTAATGCTAAAAAATAAATATTAAAGGAAGTTACTCTTATCCTTTTCAGACAAATTTTTATTTTCGATACGATTATGTGAATTGTTATTTCTTGAAATATAAAGCATAATTCAAAATAATTACTATTTCCGTTATTAAATGTAAACTATTGAAAAACTAAATATTAGTAGGTAGCTAACTTCGTTAAAAATTCTAATTTACTTGTTATTTTACAAATGTATTTTTTTAAATGATTATTTATGTAATTCTTTCATTGGTCATCAGTTTTTCCATGATGAAGCAAAAACCCTGTCCCTAGTAAGCACACGAAAACTAAATCATTATGAATTATTATCTTTTTTCTTAAATTCTCGAACCATGCTATTTAAATTCTATTCTTCGCTGCAATATGTGTTTGTTTGAGTCAAAATATTGAAATTTTTTACAGTTAACATACATCAGATAGTTAAAAAAAACATTTTTAAAGATTTTAAATAATTTTTTCAAAGAGCACATCTCTAACAGTAGGGGAAAGTGGGGTCAATTGTAACAGGATACGATTGTAACAGAGCAAAAATTTCGAGTGTCGGGTTCTAGATTTAGTTCCTAGGTGGCACACANTTAACTTAATTTATGAGTCCTCTACACACCTAAGCGCAATTTAAAATTGATGAGTTTGATAAAACTGATAGGTAAAGATAAATAAAAGTTTGCTACACTACGCTAAATAATTTATTTATATTGAATATTAAAAATATAAATTTACAAGACATTTATTTGTTTTATATAATTTTTAAATTTAAAAATGAGAAGTTTTATGGCATTTGGCTAATTCATGATTTACAATATTTGCAAAGTTAAATCCCATGGGAAGAAATTTTAACATTTTGATTATATTTAAAGTTTTCTATGAATTAAGCCACAGATTATTTAACCAATGAATGTCATTGACTTATTGATCGCGAAGTTAAATCGTTAATTTAACACGGTAAAAATTAAACCATATACGTTATTGACCACATACGAATTTGTTTCAGATAATTTATTTTACTCAGCCTTATAAAAGGCTGCGGAAAGAATATTTCCTACTAAGAGGATTAATTTTTAAATATTGTAAGCTATTTTTTCTATTATTTCTGCTGCCATCGTCTAATAATTTCAGAAATTTTTTAAAAAAAAAAGAATACCAATGAAGGTATTTGTTTTCATAAATGCTGGAAATAGTTAAGGGCAGTGTGGGTCAAGAAGGGAGGCCGAAACTCGAGAAATATTTTATTCTCTGCAATAAATACTCCTTCAGTTCATCACTTTTTATTGAGTTTATTTCTAGTTACAAACATAATTTATAAATTTGGTTAGTTACTTATAAGCTAGGAATGATCAATTTTTTTACTATAAATACGATTTTACAACCTATCAAAGGTCTAAAAAATCAAATTAGTTTTAAGCAAACTATTAAAAATAAAAGGCTCCATGAATTTTTTTTCACAAAAAAAACTCAATTTCAAGTATAGTTTAACATAAAGTTACTAAAAAAATGTCCTTTAAAGAGTTAATAATGCAAAAAGTTCTGAGAAACTAATTTTTTTACTACAATGCATAAGAAATCCGAATATAAAATTAAAATTAATGCGGATTACAACTTAAGAAAAAAGGAATTTATTTCAAATTATATACCTTTCAATTATGAACTTTTAACTTAAAGATATATTTTATTTACCTTAGCACCATCTTCTAGCTCTAGAATAAGATGCCCGACTAATTTCTCTGATGGGTTTTCCATCTTCATAAAGAGCATTTATTTTTTCTTTGAGAATATCGGAGCAGTGAGACATAATTTAACAATGAAAATTAGCAAAAATCTGATTAAAATCTACAAATCTCAAATATTCTATAACTTCAAATTTCAACTAAAAACTCCAATTAAAATTTATTAATGCTGTAAAAGGTTATTGTTAAAACACGAAACTTGAACTATAAGACTCTATTTTAGGAAAAGATAGAAAACAGAGTAAAAAAACTTAACAACTTTTTTATTTTTAAATATAGCAACGCAAAAAAAAAAAAAAAAAAAAAAAAAAATTAAAAAAAAAAAAAAANAGTAGCGTAACTAGATCACCCATCGTAACTATATTAAAACTAGATCACTATTTAATTTATTATCGTTTTCAAAGAAATGATCTAGTTCCTCGCTTTTAATTTATGATCTAGTTCCTCGCTTTCAACAGTTATAGCTATTTTAAATAAGTATTTAATATGAAACTTATTCCTAACTAAAGTAATAAAATTCTATATAAAATCATTGAGGTAATCGTATATTATCGTAGATATATTTACTATCGTAGATATATTACTTGTTTTAGGTCATTAACATATTTCTTATGACTTTTATTATGTACCCAAATTGTCCTAGTATTTTTTTCTTCTAATTGGGTATAATATAAAAAAAACACAACTACTTCCACTTAGTAGGAATAACATTTACCATGACGCAATGCTAAACCTCCAAAT